TACACCCTATGAAAAAGTCCTAGCTAAAAGCTTGATCCAGATCAACACTATCTTTTAAGGATGTAAATCACCAGCTTTTGAAGATCAAAGTCTGACCTGATACAGTTTGAGTTTAATTCAATGTTTAAGTCTGCATCAAAAAGTGAACATGAAAGCATATTGATTAGATAAGGAAGACGTCCATGGAAAAAAATTGTCCTGAATACATGTTTACCGAGTACATCAACCCATTCTCCAGCTTTGGATCATTGCTGCTGCACACGGCTGGATCTAAACTGGACCACTGCGCCTGCTGGCCATAAGCCGAGTGGCGAAACAGGACTGCTGCTAGAAAAGCATGCCAACCATCGCTGAAGCAAACCACAAACAGACACCCTGCGATGGGAACTCCTGCCAAGTGAAAAAATAAACAGTTTTTGGACAAAGTGCTAAAACAACCTCTTAACAATCAAATTATGTTTAATATATTTATAGCCAACTAAAGCAATGAGCTAGAAAATACACATAGAAAATAGAATAGAGAACAAAATTATTTACTTATATGATATTCGATGCCATGCAGTAATCAATCACTTGGAAATGAAATAGAGATCCTGCCTTCATTATGGACAGATTATTACTTAAACAATATTTTTTTAATGCTCAACATAAGCAAGTTAAATACTACACAAGAAAAGATCCTGAAACAACTAAAGATAAGGGATTTATTTGAACATACTGCTGATCCTTATTACTAAACTGGTGTTATGTTAAATAATACTGTTTGCAGAAAAAATAAAATTATGTTTTTATGCTAAACATGGACAGGTTTCTTTTTATTTAAAAAATAAAGATAAACAAACTCGTTCAACAAGGGCAGTAACAATTAATTGGATTATTTAAGGATTAAAATAACTGTCAACCTTAAGTAATGGTATACAGACTCTAAAAACTAAAAATATTAAATCTGATGAAAGGAAAACCTATTCAAAGCACTAATTAAGAGAAATATAAATGATAAGCAAACGCTACATTTACCTGGACACAAATAATCAAATTGAAGGACTGATCAGATCAAAAATATTTCACGTAAACAGGCCAGATAGTCCAATAGGAAAGAAACCTAATTCCAAAAGGCGTTTTTTTTTTTTTTTTTATCTCATTGCCATTCCAGATGGTCTCCATGTACACACCCATTCTCTCTGGAGTAAAATAATCTACAATGCGCATGTGTGCAACATTAGCCTGACGTTTTTCTCTTTACTCCTGACCAGTGGCAGCTGGTGGAGTTTTAAACCTATACATTTTAAACAGACATATTCCAAAAACAATTCAAACATATGCTAAGTTATCACACCAGTATATTTCTAGGAATGCCAACAACAAAAAACATTATAAAAACCAAACAATTTTATGTACAGCTTTATTTTTTCTACATAAATCTTGCCCTTTTGAGGCTTTGTGAAAGTAAATCTGTGTTTTGCATGGTCCAATATTGTGTCACAAACCGAAAAGTTTAATATCGGTGAAGCTATCAGTCAGCTTTATTATATAAGAACTATTTATTTTCTAAGAATGTGTTTATTTAAGAACAACTATGCAAATTAACAAACATCTCGAAAAGGTACACTGTATTATATTATGTTTCATGTGAATCCCAGATTGTCATTCTTTTTGCCTTTACTAAAAAGTGATTTAAATCAGTCCTACCTGACGTTTTAAAAAGGAGTCAAGCAGTCAAGGCTGCAGAATAAAGCGTTAGCCTCGATGCATGCAGTTAGCCAAGCCTTGTAGCTAGACCAGCTTCTGGAAAAACACTGAGTGTACCGTCTTCATCTGTCGTTTGGTCTGCTGATTAATTTTGATGTTCAGCTGATCAGGTCCAAATGGTTTCACCTCCAGCTTCTCTTGATAAGTTTGCTTCCCTCCCACGACTCGGCCCGTCAATCACCCCGCAAACAGCTGTGACAACAGTTCCTGTCACCTCCAGGCACACCAGAGCTGCGCCCAGAGCTCTCCCATGCTTCTGTATTGCAGAGGAGCTACTGCGCATTTACAACTTTTAACGAGAGTCAATAGGACACATTTTTGCACCCAATCCGACTAAAATGAAATGACGCTTTACTCGTCATTAAAGATTATATATTCATCTTGCACATTTAAAATATATATATCAGTATACTTTGAAATATTTGAATTTTATTAATCAATTTTAATGTGTTTTTTTATGTCTTAAATGAAGACTCTTAAACAAGGGCATTGGGCTGGTGGGGTGGCACCCTAGTGCCCTCTATTGGCCATCCGCCACTGCTTCTGACCTTCAATCTTCAATGTAGCGTTTGGATGAACATCCCATCCTGCCTTCTATCCCTGTAGAAAAGGAGCGTTAGCATAAGGTACCGCTGAGCCTTTCACTAACTAAATGATCACTAACAACTAAAGTATGGATTCAAGATGCGACAATGGTCTATAATGGAAAAAACTACATCAACAGACATGAATAAAGAACTGGAGAAGAAGAAATGTGAGGGGCAGGCACAAAGAGGAGGTAAAGTTAAGAATGATCTACTACTAAAGAGTTTTTCTCATGCTCAAAAGATTTAATCTGATTGAAAGCTTGATACGTTTATACTCATGTAATAACTGGATCATTTTATTTAGTTTCCATGTGAACGGAGACTTACGATGCACCAAGGTGAATATCAGAGCAGGGAAATACTGCACATGTAAGCATAGCTAGTTATAAATATAAAATATAAACATTTTCCCCATATGTGGTATCTGCACGACATTTTTCATGATTTGGCATTTGCAATTATTTTAAGGGCATAATAGAGTGTTTTCCTTTTTTTTATTCCAAATGTTTATTTAAAATTGTTATTGACTAAATGTATGTGTTTTTAGATTAATTGAAGTGTGATAGACTAATCAACTACTAAATTAACTGATAGGTTCAGCTTTAAATTCATCCTCATTCTGTCACTTTAAACATGATATGCATTTAGGCAAATTTACTGGGAGTTTTCTGTTATTTCCCAGAATGCTTAGTGGCATGTTTTTATATCCTATATGGCACCATGAGTGAGATGGAAGTTACTTAAGTAAAATACAGAAAAATTTACAAGTACATGTTGATTAATATTAACACAATGATGTCAACTAGTACAAGAAAAAAATGATAGTTGAACCATATTATGAGTGGTAATTCCATCAATGATACCTTATAAATTAATGCACCATATAATATTAAATTAACTGATCTTATTGAATTAATTGATCTAACTTCACAGCATTAAGTTCTACAAACTCAAGTCTACAATGGTGATTTTAATGTCTTCAATCACTGTTAAAAGTAAACATAGAAAACTTTGCATTTAATGAATACTGTCTAGTACTAACTAGTTGGCATAACTCTGTAAAGAAATCTCAAATTATTTCAGAATGATGTGTCTAATTTAAATGAGTCAACTGTCAAAATTATTTCTAAAATACCTAAATCAGTGGGAAATCAGTATGCAGGCTTTATAATAGAGGGAGTAAATTTAAATCTATCTAAAAATGTCTGATTTACAACAACAATTTAAACAGTAGCTTATGCCAATAACTCTTTTGATTTTTGCTTTCTTTTGAAAACAACAGTGTCAATGTGCATGCTATTTGCTTTTAGGGCAGAAACAAGTAGTTTTTAGTTTTGATGCACTTCAAAAACAGGGAGAGAAAACTGTGCACCTCAGATCTCCTGTAAATGAACTGCTACTTCCAATCAGTGCTTTCTATGCAAAGACGAAATGGAAAACAATGCTAGTCATCAAAACAATATTTACACAAACAGAACTTGAGACACAATAGGGAAAAAAAGGTTGCTCAGTGAGCTTATTTTAGCCACGTAGTAAAAACAGGTTTGAAAAACAAACTAGATATAAGAGTAACAATTCAATTACAAAAATAACCTTTTTGAAAAGAGTTCAACTCAATGAGATACACCTGTAAGAATTGTTCCCTAACACCCAACTCATTGCATCCAGTCACTGGGTCCGCAGGGCCAGCAGTCACTTTCTTCCAATGTTATTGATTCTGCATCTTTCATACTAAGCATGCATGTAGCGACAGTGGAGAGGGAAAACCCCTTAAACAGGCAGAAAACTGAGCATCCATGGCATGAGCTACAAACAAGTATGATAAATGGAAGCCAGGCCTTATAATCAAACTGGATAAAATAGATGCTACTAAAATCTTCCAAACACCACAGCCTTAATGGGTTGGGGTTGCAAACCAAATATTCAGCCTGATCTGTCATTGTGCAGGTCTCAAAATCACACATTAAATATTTGTGAGTAAATATGCTATACATATATTATTAAACGCCTATAAATATTGTGTGTGTGTTTATAGATAGATAATTTTAACATGCAATAGAATTACAGACGTATTGACAACAATGTTATCAAGAACAAGTGCTAGCTTTAGAAAATAGCCAACGGTACAGCTTTCCCTTTAACAGCATGTTTATTTGGACGTGTTTTGACCAACTATGCCATGTCGCTTTGTAGAGAAATGTAGACTATTGTGTCGTTGACTAATTTCCATATTTCAGGCATCGTTACGAGCAGCAGCAGGGCTGTCAGTTTAGCCACAAAGCTAACCTCCAGTGACAGGAAGGATTAACCCTTGATAAATTTCGTCACTCCCTTTATTTCTCAGATTGAATCGGGACGCACGCCCAGTTCCTCCATTAGAAACATCAACAACAGCATTTCATAGAGCTAAAACCCGCAGCAACATCAGCCCAGCGGTTCCTGACTGTGCAGCAGGAGGAGGGGGCTAGCGTTAGCGGTTAGCATCGCTAGGCTAGCTGGCTGACACCCCCCTCCTCCTCCTCCATCGGTGGTTATGCAGGGGGCATCGGAGCTCCAAACGAAAGGCAACAGGAACAACCCGCCGCACCGGTCCAAACTGGTAGAACCAGTTGTTTTGTTGTCGCTCATATCGGCGTGAAAAGGCGGGAGGCTCCCAGAGCTTACCTCAGGATGGATAATAGGGACGCAGCCAGCTTCTTTCTCATATTCCTCCATAGCGTCGGCCATCTTGGTGGTGACAGTCGCTGAGCATTGTGGGAAACACCAAGCGGCGTAGGGGGGGAAGCAGGCAGTGGGCTTATCAGAATCAGATTAGATCACATTAGATCAGTGCGTTCTAAAAGGATTATTGGGGTTCTTAACAGAATAATGATGCACTGCCTCCCATCCTACCTTAAGTTAAAGGGAAAGCCTCGATTTTATTTTTTATTTTTAATGTTATGATTACATTTAATTAGTAGTTGGTCCTTACCATTGTTAGACAGATCTTATGGAAACTGGGGTTTTCCCATTTCCCGTTGTCTCAATAGACAACCCGATCCACTTATTATTATGTCTATGGTAGGTAAACCGCTATATACGGGAGATGATTAGGGCCACTGAAAAAATTTAAAAAGTTAACTGATTTTTAAATATTATTTCAGTTTAATATGGGGAAAAAAAATCAGAATTCTGAGATTAAAGTCGGAATTCCGACTTTAATCTCAGAATTTTGGCTTTTTTCTATGAATTCTGGCTTTTCTCTCTTAATTCTGACAGCTAACAAACATGTTAGCACCAAGCTGCAGCAATGTCTGTTTTAAAGAATAGCTCTCTTGTTTTAATCACCTTCTGGCTTTCCATTAATGAAATAGCACCACCGGGGACACGTAAAAAGTTGGCTTATTTTCTCATTTTTCCCCAATGTGTTACTGGCCCTCTCATACAAGTCACATCTTTTTCAGTGAATCTAAGTGCTCCCACATCTCTTCTTTCGTGGTGCCCATCTACATTACGATCCAAATTTCTGAGATTAAAGTCAAACTTCTGAGAAAAAGTCAGAATTCTGAGATTAAAGTCAGAATTCTGATTTTTTTATTCTTATATTATACTCAAATAAAATTTAAAAATCAGTTAACTTTTTAGTTTTTTTAGTGGCCCTATTCCTCTTCCGTACGTATATACTCCTGTGTATCAACTGTTTCCGCTGTGATGTATCCTGTTTGTTGCGGTGTAAAAAACCCATCTTCAGAATCAAAGGGGCGGGGGGGGGTGCTCTGGGCCTTGTTGATAAGGCTGGTAGCGGATGAGAAGAAACTGTTCTTGTAGATTCTGTAGAGATAGAAGATTGTTGCTAATCACATGCTCTGCAGACCAGATGACACGCTGCAGTTTGCCCTTGTCCATGGTGGTGACACCAGCGCACCAAATGGTGATGGAGGAGGTGAAGATGGACTCAATGATGGAGGAGTAGAACAGCACCATTATTGTCCTTGGCAGGTTGAACCTTAAGGGCCAACAGTTCAGGATCCCTTTCTAGTCTATAGTTCCTTATTATGATAGTCCATAATATTTGTGTTTTTGCTGATGTCATAATATGTTGTGATGTTTGTCTCCCAGAGTTTCCTAATGTTGATAACAGCTTAAACTCCTTCTGTTTTCCATCTATATGATAAGCTGGAGAGCTTCAGTATGATATCCATCTCAGCAGCATTAAAGTGTTCTGTATAGCTTGGCCCTACATAATTTTTAACAACAATTTTTTATTTTATTATTATTATTTTTTTTTTTTGCTTGACTTCAGGCTTTTTAATAAACCAGATAAACCAAATTTCTTTTGACTGAAGCCTGAATAATTGTGGACCCTCCTTCATGCCTATCCATATGCTGAAGAAAGTAGTGTAGTTTATTACATTAACAGACTAATCAAAATTAAATAATCATAATTCTAGGATAATTTATAGATCTTCAATTTTATTTGCCTCTCTCTCGTGTGATTGTTCTGTGTCAATATCGATTCTTTTTCTTTTATTGATGTTAATGTAATCTGATTTCTGTCTCAAGCTGGGCAACTCTGTCCGATTTTGGAAAAAGATAGCTCTGTTAATTGTTTGTTTACATAACAATATCAAATAGTTCTATCTGGTGTTGTTCCTAGGCTCTGGTTGCTCCCGTCAGTTCATTGTTTTGTTATATTTCCTCAACCAAGGGGTCAGTAAACAAAGAGAAAAACGGGGGTGAAGTGCTTCCTTTCAGTCTTCTTCTCTGGGGTCAAGAGGGCCAAATAAATAACTTGGGGTCAGATTAATTTAGTGTAAACATTAAATCTGCATTTTGGAATTAAAATACAATCATATCCAAATATGAATTTTTTAAATACTTAATATTTTCCTTAATAAAAAATAATAATTTCTGTAACTTGGTTCATTATTGAAAGTTATCAAATAGATTAAAACACACAGATTTATGTTTCTTAAGCATTTACTTTTCTTAATGGTTCTTAATGCTTAATGATAATTAAAAACATTTAAGGTAATGTCTGTCAGTCTATGTGTTTTTGTCTTCTTCGATGAGATGCCCCGAAACTCAATTTCCCACTGGGATTTTCCTCTGGGATTAATAAAGTATTATTTTTTAACAGTCTCCTGTCTGGCAATGTGGACAATAATAATAATTGTCATGATGCCAAAAAGAGCCCAACAGATTTTACTTTCACAAGTGGAGCAGTACGGCTATCGCCATAGTGTTCCGCTTGCTTTATGCATATAAATAACTTTATTATAATTATGCAGGGAGTATTACAGATTATATGGACACTGCAATGTAAGTAGAACAGTAGAACAGTCTATATATTTAGGTATATATTCCATATATATCTAAATATATACACATTCTTATATACTTCTCTGTCATGAAAACATGGAAAATGATAACAGTCATGCATACCCCTGCTGGGGTTGCGAGGGGTGCTGGTGTCTATCTCCGGCTGTCAATGGGCGAGAGGCGGGGTCCACCCTGGACAGGTCGCCAGTCTGTCACAGGGCAACACAGAGACACACAGGACAAAAAAAGGACAAAAAAAAAAAAATTTAATTCCATGCACACACTCACATCTAAGGACAATTTAGAGAAGCCAATTAACTCAACAGTCATGTTTTGGGATTTTTGGAGGAAGCCGGAGTACCCGGAGAGAACCCACGCATGCATAGGGTGAACATGCAGACTCCATGCAGAAATACCCTGGGAATCAAACCTGGAACCTTGTTGCTGCAAGGCAGCAGTGCTACCCAGTGCTGCCATGTGCAGCCCTATGATAATAATCATATCAATTATAATTATATCATCACTGATGTCAACAAATACTCTTCATTTTAGTAACCTTAACCATATTATAATTTAAAATGAAAAATAACAACTGCACCAACCAAGTACCAACCAAAACAATAAGACTCAATAATAATAAAAAAAATGATAACGAAAAATAAAAAATATTACTTTTAGTGACTACATGAAATAGTTAACATAAGATAATTCATCTGTGTATCCCTAGGACTGGGGATACACAGATGAACACATACAGGTGCTGGTCATAAAATTAGAATATCATGAAAAAGTAGATTGATTTCAGTAATTCCATTTAAAAAGTGAAACTTGTATATTATATTCATACATTACATACAAACTCATATATTTCAGATGTTTATTTTGTTTAATTTTGATGATTACAAATGACAACAAATGAAAATCTCAAATTCATCATATCAGAAAATTAGAATATTACTGAAGACCAATAAAAACAAAGGATTTATAGAAATGTTGGCCAACTGAAAAGTATGAACATGAAAAGTATGAGCATATACAGCACTCAGTATTTAGTTGGGCCTCCTTTGGCCTGTATTACTGCAGCAATGCGGCGTGGCATGGAGTCGATCAGTCTGTGGCACTGCTCAGGTGTTATGATAGCCCAGGTTGCTCTAATAGTGGCTTTTAGCTCTTCTGAATTGTTGGGTCTGGTGTATTGCATCTTCTTCTTCACAATACCCCATAGATTTTCTATGGGGTTAAGGTCAGGAGAGTTTGCTGGCCAATTAAGAACAGGGATACCATGGTCCTTCAACCAGGTACTGGTAGCTTTGGCACTGTGTGCAGGTGCCAAGTCCTGTTGGAAAATGAAATCTGCATCTCCAAAAAGTTGGTCAGCTGCAGGAAGCATGAAGTGCTCTAAAACTTCCTGGTATGTGGCTGCGTTGACCCTGGACCTCAGAAAACACAATGGACCAACACCAGCAGATGACATGGCACCCCAAACCATCACTGACTGTGGAAACTTTACACTGGACTTCAAGCAACGTGGATGAAGTGCCTCTCTTCTTTTCCTCCAGACTCTGGGACCTTGATTTCCAAAGGAAATGCAAAATTTACTTTCATCAGAGAACATGACTTTGGACCACTCACCAGCAGTCCAGTCCTGTTTCTCTTTAGCCCAGGCAAGACGCTTCTGACGCTGTCTGTGGTTCAAGAGTGGCTTGACACAAGGAATGCGACAGCAGAAACCCATGTCTTTCATACGTCTGTGTGTGGTGGTTCTTGAAGCACTCACTCCAGCTGCAGTCCACTCTTTGTGAATCTCCCCCACATTTTTGAAGGGGTTTTGTTTCACAATCCTCTCCAGGGTGCGGTTATCTCTCTTGCTTGTACACTTTTTTCGACCACATCTTTTCCTTCCCTTCGCCTCTCTATTAATGTGCTTGGACACTGAGCTCTGTGAACAGCCAGCCTCTTTAGCGATGACCTTTTGTGTCTTGCCCTCCTTGTGCAAGGTGTCGATGGTCGTCTTTTGGACAACTGTCAAGTCAGCAGTCTTCCCCATGATTGTGTAGCCTATAGAACTAGACTGAAAGACCATTTAAAGGCTTTTGCAGGTGGTTTGAGTTAATTAGCTGATTAGAGTGTGGCACCAGGGGCCATCAATTTTGAACCTTTTCACAATATTCTAATTTTCTGATATGATGAATTTGAGATTTTCATTTGTTGTCATTTGTAATCATCAAAATTAAACAAAATAAACATCTGAAATATATGAGTTTGTATGTAATGTATGAATATAATATACAAGTTTCACTTTTTAAATGGAATTACTGAAATCAATCTACTTTTTCATGATATTCTAATTTTATGACCAGCACCTGTATTTTAAATTGCACCATTGGAGCTGCAATTGCACATCTGTCCCTCTAGATGGCCAACATGTACTGTCTACCTGCTACTACCAGAAGATATTGTCTACAAAATTATTAAAAATACCTTTCTTTGTGAAGCAAACAAACAAAATTAGATGTTTTATTTTTTTTACAAGCCAATATAAAAATCATAAATACCAAGAGTAAACCTTTATAGTTATTTTTTGAATATTATAAAATTGTTATGTAATCGTTCATCATTTCTACAACACATGTACACTACATCCAGACATGACTGTGGCAGTGTTATTTGCCACTTTCTGGATGGATTTTTTTTTAGGTAATGTGAAAAAAAACACTAAGATTTACTGAGCAAAAATCTGTCCCAATCCAGTAGGTAAAAAACAACAACAATCCAACAGAAAAAAATAAAATGTAAAAAATGTAAATTAAACTGGGGCATATCACATGACCTTGTCATGTCCAGCCAGGAAATGCAGAGGATCGCTGAGCAGGGGAAAATGGCCTTGCTCTGCTATTGGAAAAAATAAGACATATGGGCTGGTATTCATCATTCAAGTCATTCAAACTTACTATCACAAAAATAGTATAGTAATAGTAATAGTAAAAAAGTATTTACTCTCTTGAAACAAAGAAGAATGATGCATCTTATCACGTGCTTGATTTTAAGTGTTCACTTACTTCCATAGCAGCATAAAATCCCTCAAACGCTCAGAAAACGCTCTAGAAAACTCTAGAAAAGTGCATTCCTTAACAATAAGACCATCTTTTAAATTTCCCCACTACTAAACATTCCACAGTGGAAAACGTGGAAGCACATGATAGATATTAGATCTGGAATTAGAATCATATGAGCTATAATTGTTTTTTTTTTATGTTAGTCCAAACAGATCCATCTGTAAATGTACTTGATATTAAAATTAACTACAAAATTTAGAGTTATTGTTTTCCCATGCCCAGAGGTGTAGCCAGAAAATGTTTATTAGTCTGGCCAGGCAATAACCAATGTACCATGAGGGCTGGCACCAGAACCTCAGGAATAATCTACACTCTTCCAACAGGAAAATTAAAGAGCAAAACATCCATATTTTCTAAATAAAGACAAACTATACTTTCCTACAACCTTTGCTAACAAATAGACACATATATTTCAACATTCGTGCTTTCTAGATAAAAGGTATAGTGGATAAAATCCTTTCAGGTTTGAGTTCTGGGGCGAACATCTTTTCCATTGTTTTTACTTGCCTACTTTTATCAACAATCATTCTGGATAAAATTGACATTTACAAATACTAATGTTTACATAAATTGATTATTTAATAAGTTTTTATTTAAATAGTTATGTATCTATGATTTCACTGAAGACTCCTAGATGACTTGCAGACACATCATTTTCCCCATGAAACTCAAAATCTAGTTATGGAAAGAGCATGAATTATGTACTTATCATCTTTAATGTTAGTATTTTAATTTGTATAGTTAACCACTGTGTTTTTGTTGTCAAGTAATTGTTAATGTATGAAAATGTTAAATGTTTTGAATATTCCACTTGAGAGTATTACTGCAGCCACTGTCTGTATTAGAGTGAAAAAAAATGGTAGGGTGGCCATAGGGGTGGCCAATGATTGGCTAAGGGTGGCCATGGCCACCCCTGGCCCCCCATCTAGCTCCAGCCCTGCCCATGCCTGTATATATGTATAAGAATATCCATATTTAGAAAAAAAATGAATAATTACACTGAAAAATATGTTAAGCTATTAAGCTAAAACTAAATCAAATGCCTAGTTTGTGTTCTTTACTATGTTATTAAGGTAAGAGTACATTTTTTTATTTATGTTTTATTTATAACAGTGGTTATCAAAATAACAATTTGTGATGCAACTGCAATAATACGTATTGTATGTTAAAATATGATGTATATAGCTTCATAAAAATAATATTAATTAGATATTTGGAACTTCTCTAGTCCAATCATTCATTAGAATAGGAACATGCCACTCACAACATGGCCGACACGCTGTCGTATCGTTTCTTCTTCTTTCGACAAATGTGACATTTTAACCGGTCCTGTGGTGGTCACGTGACTGTCTTAAAACGACACGCGCACAGACACAACTTTTTGGGCATGTGGATGGTCGTTTGGTGCATGGCGCGTGTTTTGAAGCTGCTTATGGAGAAATGTCTTGGGCCGTGAGTAGTGAGGAAACAGGAAGCGATTCTTGTGGGATGGAAGAGGGAAATAGTGACAATGAAGGTTGGAAGATAGCAACATCAAAAAATGAGAAAAAGCGGAAAAAACAGAGATCAGTTCAAGGGGAATCTAGTTCAGAACAATCCAGTGATGATCATTCCATACATTCCACAGCACAACAAAATGAATTCAAAGTCATATTCAAAGTCGTTAATCAGGCAGACTCTTTTACAAATTGGAATCCGGTTCACTTAACAAAAACCATCAATAAACTTGTCGGAGAAGTCAGAGGTGCCAGAATTCTGTACAGTGGAGACCTGCTAATTAACTGCAGAGACAGCGCCCAGCAAGGCAAAGCAATACGGATCAACAAAATTGACGGGATAAGAGTTCAGTGCAGCCTAATGGAGAACAAAAAGATCAGCAGGGGAGTCATTGGAGGAGTTCCTCTAAAAATTTCTGAAAAAGAGATTCTGGAAAACATAAGCGGTGCAAAAGTAAAAGAAGTAAAACGGTTAAAAACAACAAGAAACGGAGAAAGATCTGACAGTTTATCAGTGCTAATTAAATTTGAGGAAGAGCAATTACCAAGCAAAGTATTCATCGGTTACATAAGCTATAATGTCAAAATCTACAATCCTCCACCATTGAGATGTTTCAAATGCCAAAAATTCGGTCACATTGCAGCAGTTTGTAAAGGGAAACAGAGGTGTGGAAGGTGTGCAGGAGAACATGAGTACGGAAAATGTGGAAAAGAAGCTAAAATAAAATGCTGTAATTGTGGTGGAGAACATACTGCTGCCTATCGCGGCTGTGAAGCAAGCAAAAGGTCTGAGGAAATTAAAAAAATGAAATTTGAGCTCGGAATAACCTACGCTGAAGCTGCAAAAAGGATCCCATCTCAGTCAGAAAAACCCAAACCTACAGTTCAACACACGGCAAATTCCAAACCTCTAGAGAATCAAAAAATTGATGAAGACTCACTTATTGTTAAAAAGACAAATTTTGTTCTTTTCATGGTAGAAGTAATTAATTGTACTGCACAGACAACAAAAAAAACGGAAAAAATCAAAATAATAGTGAAGGCTGCAGAAAAATATCTGGACATTAAAGATTTGAACTGGGAGATGGTTGGAAGTATGATGGGAGGACCGATGGGACCATCAGAAACTGGCAGAGTTAAGATGACCTAGAGTAAATTAAAAATTATATGGGCAAATGTGATTTAGTATTATGTTGGTTTAAGTTACACAGGTTTTTTTTTTTTTTTTTTTTTTTTTTTTTTTTTTTTTTTTTTTTTTTTTTTTTTTTGGGGGGGGGGGGGGTGAATCGTTTTCTGTTTTCTTGCTTTACTCCATATCAGTTGGTGGCGGTAATGCACAATTCACAAGTCTGCCAACCGCCATAAAACCCCATAAGAAGAAGAAGAAGAAGACATTTTAACCGGAAAGGTGCGTGTCCTTCGACAGCCCTTACGTGTACCTCGTCGAGCTGCTGGCAGAGGAGTGCAGACGCGTTGGTTGTTCGCATCTACATCACATTTATTTTTGAGAAACGGAGAACAGAGAACGAAACAAAATTCGAGGCTTTCAATTTTAACTTTGTCTTCTTTCAAACTGTAATATTTCAACGAAGCGACGTCGCCGGGCTGGCGGACAGCGCGTATCATCATCAGCCTCGCGCCAAACACTTCATACCACGGGACATTAATAAACATTAAGCGCCGTAAGCTAACAGTTAGCAGGCAGAAGCACGAGCCACAAGGCTGCGTTACTGTTTACCTCCGCCTAGCCTGCCACACAGCTAGCAATAAGACCCCGAAGACTGTAGCAGAGGTAAGTGCTATGTACACAAATGGTCATTAAAGCAAATGCAACATTTTTTTAATCTACTTGTGATAAAATGCGGCTCTCCTAATTGCTGAGTGGCAGAAACACGCTGCAGCCAAGTAATGTTTATTATATTGGAACAAACCAGGTTTAACATACAGCAGCAGGCTTCAGCTTGTCTCAGTCTAATTTCAGAGGTGATGCTAAACTGGCTAACCAAAAGATGCTGCTAAGGAAGTTTGGATTTCCTTTTGCTTTTGGCAAATCTTGATTGACAACCTAATTTCTCTGCTATGTTATCTACATCCTTCTGCAGCCTCCTCAGTCTCCCTGCTCTAATATCACTTTCACCTGTCACCTGTTTTCAAGCAGAAACTTGACACTGACTTCCTGTTTATATCAGGCTACTGTCTTGATATCTGATATTAACCTGTGTTAAAACAAAACCCAGCTTTGATTACTTAAAGCTTTCTATCCTCTGTAGTCCAGCTGGTGTATATTATCACTCACACTAAATTCAAGTTTGTTGCCTTACATTAGAATAATGTATGTTTGATTATGGTATGTAAGGGGAAGGGCTATCCTTGAAAACTGATTGGTGAGCTAGTTTTTCTTTTGTTGTTATGCTTTGATTTTTTGCTTATTGTTGAAGTATACATTTTTGAAAAGAGAAGTCTGGGTAACATGCAGTTAAATCAATGACTTTTACATCAATAATCTATGTGCAACCACCTGATTTCCGTAGTTGCGCATCATCCTGATGCTTAAACGTGGAGGCAGTATGGTGTTTAAGGATGAAATGCAAAGAAACTAGAGTGTATATGAAAGAGGATTAGGGCCACTGGAAAAAAAAAAAAAAAAAAGTTTAACTGATTTTTAAATTTTATTTCAGTTGAGTATGGGAAAAAAAGTCAAAATTCTGAGATTAAAGTCAGAATTCTGACTTTTTTCCCCATATTAAACTGACATAAAATTGAAAAATCAGTTAACTTTTTAAAAAAAATTCAGTGGCCTTAAAGGAATAGTACACCCAAAACATGATTAGCCTTCATTTTCTACTCACCTCCATGCTGAACAACACTCTGGAGTACTTTTTTGATATCTCAAATGCATCTGGAGATGTGGGAGACTTCTTGCTGTCTGCTGACATTCAAATAATGGAGGTCTATGGCGCCCGAGACAGAAAGGTCCACAAAAGTCCACAAAAACTTGTCAATATTCCTCCATACTGCTCGTCCAATGTAATCCAAGTGTCCTGAGTGGGTAGCATCCAGAATTTACTCGAAACGAAGTCATTTAGAACGTTTTAGAGCCTAAACAGTAGTGTATAGGATTTCCTAATAGCGCCCCCATGCGCGCTCACAATTCTACGGAAGCCGGCAGACCAAACCAGCGCATTCAGCTCGGCAAAGAACTCATGCTCTTCCTCAACACTGAAGTCCTCAGACATTTTTCTTTCGTTGTTTCTTTCTTTGCACAGGTAAACAGCACATTTCTTCTTCTACGCTTGCATTATCGGCAGACCAGACGCTGAATGCGCACTTCCTTCCGGTTTGGTCTGCCGGCTTCCGTAGAATCGTGAGCGCGCATGGGGGCGCTATTAGGAAATCCTATACACTACTGTTTAGGCTCTAAAACGTTCTAAATGACTTCGTTTCGAGTAAATTCTGGATGCTACCCACTCAGGACACTTGGATTACATTGGACGAGCAGTATGGAGGAATATTGACACGTTTTTGTGGACCTTTATGGACCTTTCTGTCTCGGGCGCCATGGACCTCCATTATTTGAATGTCAGCAGACAGCAAGAAGCCTCCCAGATCTCCAGATGCATTTGAGATATCAAAAAAGTACTCCAGAGTGTTGTTCAGCATGGAGGTGAGTAGAAAATGAAGGCTAATCATGTTTTGGGTGTACTATTCCTTTAATCCTCTTCCGTAAGTGTAAGAGGGCTGCAGGAGATTGGATAATGTTTTGAAGTTTTAGCTTGGAGCATTTTCATGTGCTGTAACGGTCCAGTTAAAGCCCAGACCTAAAGGAAAGTAAAAGAAAGGCATCATCAATTTGAGTTAGGTCAACCTTCCCAAAATGAACAAAATCCATTTGTGTAAACATTTATCTCATGAAATTATTGTTTTTTGGCTAAATTGGTCCTTTGAAATCATTTTAGAGTTCCATATTTCCACTCAGTGTTTTTTACACATTTAAAAACAGAAAAGGTAATCAAAGACAGGCAACTTCCTCTGTTGATAGAGAGCAACAGAAGGGCACAGGAGCTACCAGCTCATTTACAAGTGAAATGGAGTTTCCGTTCAGCCTTTGTCCAACCACAGCGCCCTGATGCTGCCCTGCTACACACTTGGTTTTAGATTTGAATAGAGTCAGCATGTAGAGCAGCAGAGAAGTGATATAATAGAAAACATTTTCTCTGTGGTTTGTTACAGATCCTACTCTGTTTTTAGAACAGGTTCAGAAATATGTAGATCAGATAAGTTGAGGTTAGGAAGTTAAAAGGTTAAAAAACTTCCAATTTGATTTAAAACTAGACCTGTGATGGATCTGTTACTTTAGCAAGAGCTGATTAATTATGCCAAGTGCATGCCTTGCTGTATGGAGGAGGGCTAAAAAAAGTGCACGCTTGCAGAAGTTTCACATAAATGATTTATTTAATTGGGTGGATGTGCATAAATTAGATTTTTATTAGATGCTTATTTGCTGTGTTGGAATATGCAGGAGAAATTCATTAACAAGTTCTTTTAATTCATCCAAAAGTGAGAATCTCAGTGCATTTTGGACCCTTTAACTAGACCAGCTGGTTTGAATCAGCTCTTTGCATTTCATAATTAATTAATTGCATTGTATCTTTTTTTTTATTTAATCTGGTATCTTCTTTAGAAGGCCTGTCTATACGATTTGGGTAGATTTTGGATTTCAATCCTTTTTCATTCATCTGTTTACACACATAAATGTTCAGATTAGGCCTGAAACAATTAATCTGATTTACCATTTATTAGAATAATCAAATAATTTAGTAATTAATTAATTGTTTTCTTGAGTATACCATTAGCTGAAACAGTAAGCCACGCAGAGAACTAATTATGTTGAAACTGTTAAAACAAATGTATCACCATTTTATATTTTAGATGAAAAACTCTTTAAGTGGCTTGTTTTTAGCTTTACCTGGTTTAAATTCTGAATAAAACCTCCTTTAAAGCACCGTTTGCAAGCTTATTATAAAAAAAAAATAAACAACCGATTAATCAAGTATCAAAATATCCATTAGTTGCAGCCCTAGTTCCGATGGTATCTTGGTTAAGAGCTTACAATAAATGAAATACAGTCGTCGTGTGAAACAGCCTTTCCTGATCGCCATAGCCTGAAGGTCACGTCCAGAGTTAGCAATAATTGAATTAGGCCAAGAGGACAAACCGGATCCTGGTGGCATAATGTGGAGGTGGGAATTTGTGGAAAAGGATGAAGCAAAATCAATTCGTTCTGCTTTATTATTACATTATAAGCTTTTTTTTTATTTTTATTTTTTATAGAAGGTAAATGGTTAGAGTTCTCTAGTGGGAAGAGTTATAGATCACAGCTGAATAATAAAAACAGAGACATTTTCTTATTGGTAGAATACAGAAGCCTCTGGATGAGTTTTTCCTGTTGGACTTCACGGCTTTGTTCAAACCTTCCATGTTGCCCAGATTCAGCATTTGGTGGGCTGATTTTCAGAGTTAGATGGACAGCATTTACGCATTAGTGATGCTTTGACACATAGTCAGAAGGATGGAAAGAGGACAGTAAGAAAAATTAGTCTATCATCCTACCTTTACATGCCACCGTTTGTTTTTCCTAGCTAACAGGTTTTTGAATAAATTATGAAAATAGTTTTTTTTCTGACACTGAATTAATTTTGAATAGTTTTCTATCTCCATTATGGTTCTGAATCCCAATTGTACCAGTTGACTCTTACCACGAATGAGACATAATGGCTCCTGGTTAAACCACAATCAGTGTTTAGTGTTAACATGCTGGTAGGAGATATAAAGCCCCTTTGGATGCTGCAGACTTTGATACTGTCCCAGATTACTTAAAGCAACCAAATCCAATCTAGTAGATCACTTTAGATGTTTGTCTAAAACATATTAGTGTTTCAATTTTTATTTGCAAGACTCGCCTTCTATGTAATCTTATCCTGTTGTAGTAGATTAGTAGTAAATAATCCAATCTGGTAGATTAAAGACTCCTGCAGAGTACAGGTGAAGCATGCTAGATTTGTACAAAGACAAACATTAGAGGTTTATATTTAAGGATTTAAAAATGACACAGATCATAATGATTATCGTTGCTTGCTTTGCACATTTAACTGCAGTAAATTGAACTGAGTGTTGTTCATGTTTATTAAAGCTCTTCCTGAGGGTTGTTTTTGTTTTGCTGCGGTGATATCTGCAATCTTCTGTATCATAAGAAGCTCTAAACTTGAGATTATTAGGCTGCTGTTTAGAGTCATGAGGCTAAGCTATGAAATAATATCCACATTGTTTGTTTTACCAGCTCACCTTTGTCCCTGCTGTTGATTTCCCCCCTGGTTTTAAAGGTTGATCGTTATTGAATGTAATCTGAGGAACATCAGGGAAACTGGCTGTTCTTCAACCATATTTATGTTAGAAATGTCTCCTTCATAGAGAAGAAAACACACTTTAAAGCCACAATGTGCAATTTTTCAGCAAACCCACTCCTATTCAATTATAAATATCTATTTCTAAGGCAAGGCACACATAAAGATTGAGAGTTTCCGTTCATAGGTGATAATAAATAACATGCATATAGAAAATGTATCACATTTATGTCTCCCTGTAGTTATTAAACACTGTAACTTTAAGTTTGTGATCTTATTTTAGCACCAAGGCAGATGTGCTCACATTGTTGGCTGTGGTTTGGCTAATTGGATTGATTTGTTCTGGCACATGCCAGATGTGTTCAGAGCTGATCATTTACCTGACAAAGAC